GCTACACAGAGAAACCCTGTCTCAACACCCCCCCCCAAAAAAATTGGGGAATTTCAAATTCCATATATATTACAAAACAGAAATTCAGTTGCAAGATAGTAAAGGAGAAAAAAACTTTCTGCTGAAAAAAGAACTGGGCAAAATATTCGGAAGGAAACACTGAGCCATATTTGGCCAAAAACAATTGTAATTCAGGTAATTCATGTCCAAATACTCTCTAAACTCACTATACACTGAAAAGCTAACCAAATACAGTAACAAATGAGTTTTTCACAAAAGTACAGAATAAAAATTTTCAAGAAGGCTAGATATGTCACTCAATGTCAGAATTGTAGCCTAGCCTGCCAGGCATAAAACCCTGGGCTCAGTGCCTGTGCAGCTACAACACGTAGACACTCATGCACAACCCCCTCCTACACATACAGCTTCTAAGAAGAAAGGGTTACATAAGGGGTATATTAGCTAATCAAATTGTTAATATATATGGTCAGGAAGAAACTGTGTTAGACACAGCAGTAGTCAAAAAATGTATTAAATCAACTTACCTGGGGTGTCTCATGGCCTTTTCTACTGTAATTTTGTATGAAGTCCACAAGACCATGAACCACTGTTTTAACAGCTACCATTGCATTTTCTAGCTGTTCCCAAGTTGGTGAAACAGCATCTAAATTAAGAGCCAAAGGGATGGGGTGGGGGTTGGAGGAGACAACGTATCAATGGTCATTCCCTTGTGCTATTTACCTCAGAATTCATGAAGTATAGGTACTAGTGCATTTTCCCACATACCTGGATTAGGATCTATATTTGCAAGAAGTTCTAAATGAGGCCTCAGTCTATTTAAATTAGCTGGGTCACCTGTTCGTTGCAAAACAATTGTCAATTCTTGGACACTCTTTGCAAATGATTCTGGAGACTGTAGCTAACAACAGAAGAGAGAATAATTTTTACTCTGGATTTTAGAACACAACTATATTCAAAAGCTTTCCAATAGCTCACCCTCTTTAATAGGTTTTCAAGTGTCTTCAGATTTCATAATAGGACGATCAATGATGAACTGAATTTCACCTCAGAATCTGCCCTATGAAACTCATCACTAGACACTTAGAAAACATATTTATCGGCTACACTAGCTCTCTGGGGCCAGAGAGTAGATAAAAGTTTTCAACCTTACAATGCTACAAAAGCAAAGCACATTCAGTAGAAAGTGTTCACATTTTACATTTAATTTTTCTCAGGTGAGTGACATGAAGTACAGTATTCACATGGGGGTACAATGGCACTGAGCTATAGCTCTCAGTAAACCACATAAGCATGAGGTAACAGCCAATAATACTCCACAAATCCCCAAGTGTCCAATGCTGCTAAGTTATCGTGCTCACTAGGTTAGACATGTGAAATCAATATCTGGGTCAGATGGGTACATTAGGTTATAAACTGAGGAGTGTGTATACCATATTACTCTGAAACAGAAAGTACTTCTAATTCCACAAACCTTATCAATGATAGACTGCATGTGTGATTTATGAGCCAAGTCCCCATATAGCAGTGAGGACCACTGCTCAGGTGAAATACGGAGTCCTGCTTCCATGGCAATATGAACAATTTGGGCATCATGTTCTCTGCGCAGTGCTTCATAACTCCGAAATTCCTCCTTTAACTGCATCAGGGAAGAGTCTTCATCTCTTTTAGTAACCTAGAAATGAAAAACAAAAAATCAAACTCATTAGAATTAGCCTTCTCTTTCCCCTTACCCAATTCATTTACATTAGGTGTCAGGGTTGAGATAAAAGGGAATATAAACCAGACACCACACAAAGTTGAAAATGTCAACACAAATCTTTTTCAGAACAAAACAGAAATCATGTAACTATGTATTCATTCCTTGTCTTCAATAAGTTCATCAGCATTTGGCAGGGAAGACTTAGAAAAAGAAGCTGGACGGTGGTGGCACACGCCTTTAACCCCAGCACTCGGGAGGCAGAGGCAGGCAGATCTCTGTGAGTTCGAGACCAGCCTGGTCTACAAGAGCTAGAATCAGGACAGCCTCCAAAGCCGCAGAGAAACCCTGTCTCGAAAAACCAAAAAAAAGAAAAAGAAAAAGAAAAAGAAATGTGTAGTAATGGTACTGTTATAGGCTCCATGGCAACATGAACAAAAGGCAATTAAATATGATGACTAAAGTGAAGGAAACTGTTCAGAAAAGGTTTTCTTGTGGCTGAAGACTATGTGATCTACATCATGAAAAATAAGATTTCTTTAGGAATAGGGGAAAGATCAAATTCTAAAAAAGAAAAAGGTAAAATGGAAACATCAATGAGATGCTAACAATGAGTTAAAAATTATTATACGGGTCAGAGAAGACCCACAGATGGCCTTAAATATGATGGTAAATTAGGTATTAAATACTAAGGGGAATGAAAAGTCACTGAAAATTTTTACATAAGTGCTATGATCAGATACATATCTTTAAAAGAACATCATTTTCCTTGCTTAGAAAGTGGTTGTTTGCTGTTTTAGTGAGAATGAGTCCTGCTTTCTTATTTGAGGGGCAGGAGAGCTGAGTGCATTGCATCTTCCTAAGAGAGTTGGGATAAATTAGTAGAAACATTACTTACTGTGGTTCTTTGAGAAATGAGATACTGCAGTTTCAGAAACTAGAATCCTGTTTCTAACGTTAGACTGTCGTCATTGTACCTGGAATAGTGCTGTGTAGAGTAAATGCTTGTTTTTGTTTTTGAATTCTCATAAAATCTGTGTGTGTGTGTGTGTGTGTGTGTGTGTGTGTGTGTGTGTGTGTGTGTGTGTGTGTGTGTGTGTACAGGTCAGAGGACAACCTTAGGAGTGAGTCTTATCTTCCATTTTGTCTCTGTAGGCCACAAGCTTCTGGGAAAATCTCCTTTCACCTTCTATCCATCTCTCTCTACAGGCTTTGGGATTTAAGATTCAAAGCACACAAAACCACACCAAATTCTAAGACTCACATTGAACAAACCATTTGATCTATTCAAAACTCAAAACTTTATCTGCTAAGCATGATAAATACCAGCAGTCAAAAAGCTCAAACAGAAGAATCATGAGCACAAGTTTCACTTGCACTATATAAGACCCTGTCACAAACAAACACAACTTTGTTTTCCTCACTGGTGAGAAAAAAACAAGCTCCAGATTACCTCAATGGTTGAACGTATTGAGAGTCTGACTCTGCAGCCTAACCTATCCTCAAAATTGCAGAAATCCCCTGCTCAAACCTCCCAAATGCTAGGATAACAGGCGTGGACCCCATGCCCTGCTTTAGTAACTATTTTTATTTCTGCTGGTACATTGGACAGTAGCAATATGTCCTCCAACACATGAATACAAGGAAATCAGACATCATCTCAGAATTAATAGCCCATATACTCTTTGGGAATCTAAAAATAGTTAAAGAGTTTGAGACACTCAAAATGTTAATATACTCTTTTATGTATACTGAGTATTCACCTGCATATATATATGTACATCACAGGTATGCTTTGCGCCCATGGACAAGAAAAGGGTGTCAAGATTCCCTGGAGCCACCATGTGGATGCTGAGAACTAAACCCAGGTCTTCATCAAAAGCAGCAAGTATTCCTATCATTGAGCCATTCATCACTCCATCCCCAATCAATACAATCTTAAGCATTTAATAATGAGTGGGGTGTGGATATAACATAAAAGTCGCTATTCTTCAATAATCCACTTTAGGAGAACAGAGAAACAAAAGGAGAAATTATTAACCTAAATAAGGGGTGTAGTGGGGAGTAAACTAAAGATCTAGAGGAATAAATTATAGCACACCTCTAAGCACCATATACTGTACACATACCCATGGATAGCAAGAGCACCCAAGTACTTGAGATTTAGGTAATGGGACCTGATCCAATTAGTATCAATATGGATTGAAATCATTTGTGAAAGGCTGCTGGAGATGTAGCTCAGTTGATAGAGTGCTTGCCTAACATGCATGAAGCTAGGGTTTGATTCCCCAGCATTATATAAAAACTAGGCATTGAAGTGATGCACACCCATAATCTCAGCAGTTGGCAGGTAAAAGGAAGAGGCTCAGATGCACAGTCATCCTCAACTACAAAACAACATCAACATCAACCTAGGATACAGAAGAACCTATATTTTAAAAAAACAAACACACACAAAACAAATCAAAATTTGAAATTTGTGACTCTTTGAAAGACATACTCTTAAATCTACTGAATGAGAATTCTTGAATCCTTTGTTCTGATTCCATGTTTAGTAAACAAAGGATCCCTAAAGAAAAATGAACCAACATAAGAATATCATTTATCTGGTGTATACACATGTGGACATGCACATGCCATGCATGCATGTGGAGTTGAGAGGACAAGTTTCAGGAGTCAGCTCTCTCCTTACACCATGTGGGACCCAGGCAACAAATTTGTCATCTGCTCAGTGGCCAGCACCTTTATCCACAGTTATCTCATTTGCCATGGAGTACAATTCCTATCAGAGAATACTGAAACTGATGATGATCATGATTATAGCCATCTTAATCCTGAGGAAAGATCAGACACCCACAAAAATCTGGTTGTTAAACTGATTAAAAGACACTGAACAGTGATCGTTGGATTGTGTTTTAGTTTTCTAAAAGTAAATGTCATGTGAGACCTTTTGACATTTAAATCCGCATATCTTTAGCATTTCAAATGACAGTAAGGATGAAACGAAAAAAATGACATATATCCTACTTGTGATGCAAATGACAAATAACACTGGGAACTATAAATATCCAACAATCATAAACCACAGAGCAGTTAACACCTATAGGGAAGAAAAAAAGAGTCTCGGGTATTTCAGTGAACACAGTGGGAAAGCCTAGTCAGTCAGTCAGGTGTAAATGACAAATGACCTCTATAAATTGGCTGCTTATCGGAAAACATGATTGAGAAACTATATCGTAACTTAAAATTATTTTTTTTTTAAAGGATATGAAATCAAGCACTAGGACTATCAGACAGACAGTGTTCCAACCTCATTTGCAAGGGTAAATGAACCCATTTGAACATACTTTCATCATCAATCACCTATTTTCTAAACTGGAATACTTCCAAGGAAACCTTTTACAATCTTGGAGCCTTAAAATGAGCAAAGGAACCTAGACATGTATGATTTACTTTCACAAAAGCCTAGAGGTCTTTTTACAAATCTCTTCATTTTTCAGGTGCTAGCTAACACCCTACACTCTGGTAACAAATAGAAAACAAGGATTAAGGTAGCTTTTCTCATCTTTTAATGGCCTACAATAAAATTCCACTTTAAAATAGTCTTCACTTTCCATCAAACAAAATACCAAACATTGTGGCAACCTTCTCAACTTTTGAATTTCTCTTTTGAGGGAGCCAGTTTTTGAGACAGGGTTCCTGTGTGTAACAGTCAGCTATCCTGGAACTCCCTCTTTTGACCAAGCTGGCCTTCTTTAGATCCACCTGCGTCTGCAGTTACCTATCCAGGAACTCCCTCTTTTGACCAAGCTGGCCTTCTTTAGATCCACCTGCGTCTGCCTACCAAGTTCTGGGATTAAAGGCATGTATCGCCATACCTGACTACCTTGAATTTCTTGTGGACTGTTTTCAAGTTAAAAGACTTTTATCGACAGGCAGTGGTGGCGCACACTTTTAATCCCAGCACTCGGGAATCAGAGACAGGCGGATCTCTCTGAGTTCGAGGCCAGCCCGGTCTTCAAAGAGAGTTCCAGGACAGTCTCCAAAACCTACAGAGGAACCCTGTCCTGAAAACAAACAAACAAACAAAAAACAAAAACAACAAAAACCAAAGACTTTTATCACTTTACAAAAGATAAAAAACAAAACAAAAAAAACAATGTATTACAAATATTTCCTGCTCTTATGAAGTCTACAATATGATTTGGGACTTCTGGGTTTTTTGTTTTGTTTTTTTTCAAGACAGGGTTTCTTGGTGTATCCCCAGCTATCTTATAAATTGCTCTATAGACCAGGCTGGCCTTAAACCCAGAGGATCCGCCTGCCTCTGCCTCCCAAGTTCTGAGATTAAAGGCCAGTGGGACTCCTTGTTTAAAACAATTGATATAAAGAAGTGAGGCTTCTTTAGTTTACTTTTATAAGTTTCTGCAAGAGTCTAAAGTTAGGGATTCACATATGTTTGATTCAATGAAACCAAGTAGCTGGTATTAAAAATTAATAATACAGAAGGAAAAATGAAAACACAATTCCTCTGTATTTCTGGAGTCACTACACTAGGTAACATGGATTCTAGGAAGCCTCTGCCTCATAAACAAGCATGTGATCTTCAGTGAGTTATACAGCACTTACCTTAAAACAAGAAGCTCGATACAGTAGCTGCACAACGTGACCAATACTTGTTTTTGATGCCTGAGGAAATCTTGGTTCCAGTCTCTGCACAACAAAAAGTACCAAAACTTTCCTTGAGAGGGCAGAACCATCTTCTAATGCTAGCAACACCAACTTCAAGGCTTCTTCTTGCATAGCTAAAAACAGTAAAGGAACAAAGATTATACTAATAATGTTTGTCAAAAGTATATCTGGGTATCAATTTATGATGGTATACTATGCATAATCTGTATCTAATTAGCATGAAAAAAGGAAATCACACATATACAAAAACAATTCATTTTAAATTGATCAAGGGCCAGCAAAGTGACTCATGAGGTAAAGATGCTTGCTGATTATTGTGAGGTATTTCGATTGTTCTGACAAATAAAGCTTGCTTCGAGTCAGAGAGCAGAGCTAGCCACTAGTTAAGCATTAGGGGTCTGAAGTACAGAGTGAGGACGTTGTAAGATGGGACAGAGAAAAGATCTCTGCCTTTTCAATCTGAGGATTCAAGAGAGGCAAGTCTCTGGAGGCTGCTGCTGTTTCTCTGATCTTTCAGCTTTTACCCCAGTATTTGACTCCCGATTCTTTACTAATTAATTAGATTCACGATACATTTGATCAAGGCTGGCAACCTGAATTCAATCCCCAAAGCCCAGGCAAAGGTAGAAGAAAACACTCCACAAAATCCTCCCCCAATCTCCACACATGTCAAGGTACACTTGCAGTTAAACAGATCCAATGTACACACATACAATATTAACTTTTTTTTTTTTTTGGCTTTTTGAGGCAGAGTTTCTCTTTGTAGCTGTGGCTCTCCTGGAACTCTCCATATAAACCAGGCTGGCCTTGAACTCTGAGATCTACCTGTCTGCCTATTGAGTGCTCAGATTAAAAGCATGAAGTATCATGCCCAGCTTGCAATATTAAAAATTTTAAAAATTAGACTTTTATGTATGAAAGTTTTCTCTACATGTATGTACATGTACCGTGTGTGTGCTTGGTACTGTGGAGATTCAGAAACAGTATAGGACCCCTGAAACTGGAGTTTCCAGACGGTAAGCCTCTATGTGGGTACTGAGAATTGAACCTGGGTCCTCTGCAAGAGCAAAGACTGATCTTAACCACTAAGTCATCTCTAAAGCCCCATAAATAAGAATTTTAAAAGTTACCAAGCAAAAGAAAACATACTTTGCACTAAATGACCAGTCACTGGTGTGTACAAGACTATTATAATTATTATTATTATTATTATTATTATTATTTTAAATTGTGTATGTATGAGTGTGAGTCTATGTACCTGTGCAGGTACCTTCTCAGGCTACAGGGATCTTATCCCTTAGAGACTGAGTTACAAGTGATTCACCTGCTGTAGATACTGGAAATCGAACTCTGTAATAGCAGTAACCGCTCTTAACCACTGAGTCATCCCTCCAACCCAGGGAACAGAACTTTTAATAAAATATCTTCTGTAGGTATGCAACAGTAATTAGATAATGATGTTAATGGGAAAGCAATTTATAAAACAGAGAACTACTTTGGCAATGATAATCTGTAAAGGACATACATATTTGGCAAGACAGTTATGCGCAAGACAGTTAATGTACTTGTCAGAAACTATATTGTCTATAATTTTAAATAATATTATCCTTTGGGTAGAATACCTAAGGAAGGCATTAATTTCACTTATGTTGATTTATTTATTATTTTTTGTTTTTTTGAGACAATTTCTGTGTAGCCCTGGCTATCCTAGAAGACAGGCTGTCCTGTGAAGACTAGGCTAGCCTCAAACTCAGAGATCCACATGTCTGTGCTCCCACCTGCTGGTATTAAAGGTATGTGCCACCACTTTGTGGCTACTTATGATGTTTTTGTTGTTGTTGTTTTTTGGTTTTTGCGAGAAAGGGCTTCTCTGTGTAGCTTTGGAGCCTGTCCTGGAACTTGCTCTGTGGACCAGGCTGGCCTCAAACTCAAGAGACTGGCCTGCCTCTGCCTCCCGAGCGATGGGATTAAAGGCATGTGCCACCAATACCCGGCTGAAGGTGTGTGCCATGGCTGCCTGGTTTATGATGTTTTATAATTAGGGAAATACAAAATATTCTCAGTCAAATCATGAGGGAACATCAGGCAAACCTAAAAGGACAAATATAAAATGAATGTTCTGTATTCCAAAAGACTGACAATGATTCAAGATATAAGAATGCTGATGGAATAGCTAAGATCAAAAACACTGATGACAGCTTATGTTGGAAAGGATGTGGAGTAAGGGAAATATTCCTCCACTGCTGGTGGAAGTGCAAACTTGCACAACTTTGGAAATCAATATGGCAGTTTCTCAGAAAATTGGGAATCAACCTACCTCAAGGCCAAGCTATACTAATGTTAGGCATATACCCAAAGGATGCTCAATCATACCATAAGGACACTTGCTAACTATGTCCATAGCAGCCTTTAATCCCAACACTTGGAAGGCAGACTCGGGAGAATCTCTGAGTACGAGGCCAGCCTGGTCTCCAGAGTGAGTTCCCGGTCAGCCTCCAAAGCAATACAGAGAAACCCTGCCTCAAAAAAACAAAATAAATACATAGTCTAGACTCAATCCAAACTCCTTTCCAAAGTGAGAGTATTATGAATCAAATGAGGACAGTATCACAGCACCATCATTAGTCAAGAACAAAATTAGAGCTAATTGAGGATAGAATTCTCATATAAACCAAACACTTAAAAAAAAAAAAAAAAAAAAGGCCTAGGGATATAACTTAGATGTAGGGTTCTTTCTTTCCTAGTATATGCAAGGCCCTTAATTCCATCCCAGTACTGTAAAACAAAAAGGAAAGGTGGTTTGCAATATTCAGTAAGCAGCACTTAGTACATTCACAAGGATATATAACCATTAACTGTACCTAGCTCAAAGACATTTTCACTGCTCCAAAGGAAAACTCACACTCATCAAGCAGTCATTTCTGGTAACCATTCCTCCTTAGCAATCACTCATTTTCTATCAGATTTCTTTCAAGTACCACAGTATTTTCAAACACTATCTACAAGAAGCATGTATCACTCTATGGATTTTTCTACTGCATTTCTTTATATGGTTGAATAGTATTTTATGAACACATTATGTTTTGATTATGGCTTTATTAGTTAACTGACAAATAAAATGCTTCTGCCTTTTTTATGCTTTAAAATAAATGTCCTATATTTAAGACTATTCCTATCATCAAGACAAAGCAGGGAATGGTTCCAAATAAAAGAACACTAAATAAAGGTCAGGCATGGTGGCACATTTGTGAAATCAACACTGAAATTCTTTGAGACAGGGGCTTGACATGTGGCCCATCCAGGCTAGCCTCTAACTCATCTTCCTACTTGATCCTCTCCAAGTACCAAGATAATAGGTATGCATGATTATGACCAGTTCATGCCTACCTTTTAATCATTGTAAATATTACTGCTTAAACATTTGTGTCCAAGAATCAGTTTGAGTATCTGATTTCTATTTTGGAAGGCCCAGTAAACTCCTGGGTCACATTTAACTTTAAAGAAACTACCAAAGCCTTTTCCAACAGAAGAGCACCATTTCCTACGTCCACATCCTCCACAGCCTTAGCAACTCATCAGATGGTTTTCTTTTCAATCAGCAAATCAAACCCTTATGAAGTAGAATCTCACCGTGGTTTATTATTGTCTGTACTCCTGCTCAGTCAGGGTATAGTGCAAACTAGACCAGCATTACCACAGAACCCCACCCTGCAGCCCCTTGCTGAGTTTGATTTACATTTCAATACTAACTAAAGATTTTCAGTGTCCTACAAATGCCTGTTCTCCATCTGTCACTAATTTGGATGTTACCTTTGTGATCCACTTTTGAATCAGGTTTTTGTCTTTTTGAGTTCCAATAAGGTATATCAGGTATCTAGTGCTTTTACAGATTTAAAAAAAAAAAAAAAGGAACAAATAGCACAAAGTGTCATCCTTAAATTAAGTACATATAAAAGGAGGATTTTTTTTGAAAATTTTAAATTTAACTTTGATTTGTGCAAAACTTAAAGCATATATGTTTGGCTATCAACATAGCTACCTTCAGAAAGGTTTATCTACTTTTTCATTTTTCTAGTTTATTTTACCTCATGTATGTTCTAGTTTACTTTACCTCGTAAGTCCCAGACAACATATTACTTTACCATTATATACATATTTGTAATAGGAAATGGTTTTCAAACTTTTTACATAAGACCATTATCACATCTAACAAAAGTAATATATTTCCTTAATCTAATATCTAGTCCATGTTTTATTTTTTCCATTGTCTGAAAAACATCTGTTTATAGTTAAAGTTTCCAAAGATATTTAAAGAAGCACTCAATTCTTTTGCCACATTTCAGCCCAGTTGTTCATGCTCTGTAATAGTTGTTCATGCTCTGTAATACCCTATCTCAAAAAACAAAATAAGTTTCCTAGAAGCTAGAGAGATGGCTCAGTGGTTAAGAGCACTACCTGCTTTTCCAGAAGTCCTGAGTTCAGTTCAAATACCCATGTCAGTCAGCTCACAACCACCAAGGTGTATGACACCCTCTTCTGGTTCCCTTGGGTACCTGAATACACATGACATACATTCCCAGGGACAAAAAAAAAAAAAAAAAAAAAAAAAAAAAAAAAACCCATGCCCTTTGCATTCTTTAAACCCAGCACTCTGGAGGCAGAGTTCAAAGCCACCTGGTCTACATAGTGAGTTCCAGGACAGCCAAAGATATTTAGTAGGACCCAGGCGGGTGTGTGCACGGGCTCACACACACAGAGAGACAAACACACACACAATTAAGTAAATCTTTAAAAATGTTTTCTATCTGGGTGTGGTGGTGAATGCCTGTAATCCCAGCTGAGGCAAAAGGACTACAAAGTTGGAGGCCAGCCTGTACTACACACAAAGTACTCTAGGTTAGCCTTAACTACACAGGAGACTATTTAAAATAGAAACCCAAACCATCAAAACAAAATGTTTCCTACATAAATTTTATCCGAATTACAGTTCTAAATCAAAAAACAAATCTCCCAATTAACAGTTAAGTACTTTATAACTTGGTATAGAGATTGTTTTAAACAGGACATCCATAGCACTGATCACAAAGAAACTTCTTGCTGGTTTCAGTATTTCTTGTTTTCCAAGTGTTAACAATCAATCAAAAGTGTATTATTTATATCAAGCTGCTCCCCCATAACTTTACCTTCCATGATGCACACCTGTGCAGCTGTAGGCCCTTTCTTGACCAGTTTACTAATTTGCAAACTGCAGATGAGCCCACTGTCTCACTGATGCCTAAGAAATAAATGAGAAATTTCTTCCAAAGCACTGGCTATAAGAACATACTATGATTTATACTTTACTATGTCAGGATATACAGGATTTTTTACTTGGCATCCTCAAGATCTGATAACCAATAAAAACACAAAGATGGTGATGTATTTTACCTGGCCCTAAAAACTGGCATCCTCGAGCCCTGACAGCAGCCCACAGGTTGGCAGACAGCTGCTGAGGGTTCTGGTGCTGCAGGATCAGTTCTGTCACAGTTCTTTCTCCTAGTGAACGGGCAGCTCGCATAGCTCTGACACGACCTTCTTCCTCCACCAGTTGACAGTTTACGAGAGTAACTAGCTTCCTTTGCATTGGACGGCTCAGGGCACTCTGGTTCAAACTAGCTACACCTTTAACAAATGGAGACAAAAGAAAGTCAACATTTAAAAAAAAAATTCATCATCTGTATTTAATTATTAAAATAGTTATTTATGAGTCTCTTGATAAATAATTTGACTTTTCTAACTGACTATTGAGACCCTGTTTATTACCATTCTGTAATAATAAAGAGCCTAGTTCTTAAATACTTCAGATTTCATTTAGGTGCCATATTCTATAGGCTGGATATGTTCACAGACTATGCTGGGGTTTACTTTACTCTCCCCTTTAAAAACTACCTGGAGATAAATTTCAGACAAATGAATACAAATTTGAACCTTAAAACGTAACAATTAAATATTGCACACAAGAAATGTGTAGGCGGGTGGTGGTGGTGCACGCCTTCAATCCCAGAGGCAGAGGCAGAGGCAGGCGGACCTCAGTGAAGAGGAGGCCAGTCTGGTCTACAGAGTGACTTCCAGGATAGGCAGGGATACACAGAAAAACCCCATCTCAAAAAAAAAAGAGAGAAAGAGAACGAGAAAGAGAAAGAAGGAAGGAAAGAAATGTGTAACACTGTTAAATCTGGTTCTTATACTTACATTCCCTTCCCTTGAACCTACTCAGGGTACCGCTCAGAAATTCTCCCCTCTTCTACATCATACATTCCCCCCCTCTGCTTGATCATTTCCATCAGCAAAATACTTAAGAAGAAGTATGCAACCATTCCACTTATCTTAAAAATATAACTGTTTTGCTTTTCCAGATAGGGTTTCTCTGCATAGCGTTTGCTGTTCTTGGCTGTCCTGGAACTCACTCTGTAGACCAGGCTCACCTTGGACTCATGAGATCCTCTTGCCTCTGCCTCCCAGAGTGCTGAGATTAAAGGTGTGCACCACCACAGTTCTGCTTGTAAGCAATTTTTAAAAAAGTAATCTTTCTTCCTTTACTAGCTGTCTTATTTCTTTACCTCCTTGTGTAGTACATCTTTTATTATCTGCCTTTCTTCCTCACTGTTCCTATTTGGTAGACACTGTGAATACATAGCCTAAGGTGGCCTTAAATATACCATGTAGCCCAAGCAGCCTTCAGCCTGGCTATCTTGTACATATTCTATTATACACTGTTTCCAACATCTTACTTCACAAGTATGAAAAACCTGTTTTGCCATACTCTCTCTTACACCAAACTGCTCATCAAGACAATTACATCTACTTTGCTAAATCCATAGTTAATTTTCAACCCTTATTTTATTTGACTTTTCAGTAACATTCAATAAGTCTTTTAACCACTTTGTTTTGGTTTCCAGAACATTCTGTTTTCTTCCTTCTAGTATTCTTTGACAGTAGTTTTAACCCTAAGCCTGATCTGCCAGCATTAAAGAGACTATCTTTTTTTTTTTAATTTTATTTATTTATTATGTATACAGTTTTCTGCCCGCATGCCAGCAGAGGCACCAGATCTCATTCAAGGTGGTTGTGAGCCACCATGTGGTTGCCGGGAATTGAACTCAGGACCTCTGGAAGAACTGTCAGTGCTCTTAACCTCTGAGCCATCTCTCCAGCCCTAAAGAGACTATCTTATAAACTAGGGATCCCATCTAGTCTCACTGCTCCACACAACATTCACATTATAATAATCCCCAAAGCAATAACCATGGGCCGTATGCTTAATTCAAAACTTATATATCCACTAGCTACTCAATCCCAGCTAAATGAATCTCAGATGTCTCAAACTTAACAAAACTGAACTTGAGCTTCTTACCCAAACCTGATCTAAGTCCACTATTCCAAAAGCTGCAGCAACTCTCTTTGCAGGTACTTAAGCAAAAACTTGAGAAGTTACACTTGCCTCTTCTACTGTCTCTCAAATTCCAAATCTAGGGAATATTCTTGCCTTACCTCCAAATGTATTCAAACTTGGTACCAAGATCCATTTTTGCTAACTGTGCCTCAATTGCTTAACTGCTCATTAATCCTTCTGTCCTTCTATACTGTCTCAAGAGAACAGCCAACTCTCTTTCCACCATCCTCTTTCCCACTGTTCCCCTGGGGCAGATAGGACTTTTCCTGTTTCTCTCTATGTCTCTGTGTCTCTTTACCTCCTCTTTTCTCTTTGCTTCCCCCTCCCTCCCCTTTCTAATAAAACAGCTCACCAAAGAGAACACCTGAAGGGATCCTTCGTTTGGGCCATCATTTTTTTTTTTTTAACATTCCAATCCCCATTCCCCCTCCCTCCTCTCTTCCTACCCCACCCCCATCTGCTACTTGGAAAGGGTAAGGCTTCCCCTAGGAAGTGTACTAAGTCTGTCCCATCATCTCCTTGAGGCAAGACTAAGGCAACTCTCTACCTCCCATACCCCTGTGCTGACCAAGGTATCTCTCCATATAGAAAGGGCCAAAGTGATCCTTTTAACACTAGTCATGTCACTACTCTGTTTAAAACCACTGCCCAATTTTGCTCAGAGCAAAAGCTCAAGTCTTTAAATGGTATGAAAGTCGGTGTTCATCTTGCCTCATGATACTTCATCTTAACTTTTCTTGTAACACTGCCCTTAATTACATCACTCCAAGCATACTCTCCTCTTGCCACAGGGACAGTACACTGGATGGCTATTCCTACTGACAAGAAAATACTTTTCCAGGATCTACCTCAGTACCCATCTGATCTCTTTTACCACAATTCAATTTCAAGAGCTACAATCTAAACAAGGACTTCACTAGACATTATTAAAATCTGTAATCTGTCTTTATTCTCCCACCCTGACATGTTAACCTCTGTGTATTTTCTCTGTACACCAATAACCATTTACACTATATAACCTAATTCATCATGCTGTTTATTATAGTTTTTCCTTTTACAGAAATACAAGTACGGCACATAGTTTCAGGTTGTGTTTTCCTGTTCACTGGAATATCTCAAGCATCCTAAATCCACAAGTTATTAATAGGCACAAAATAAACATTCGATTCATTCAGTAACTACTATATTTGTAAGAAATAGCTAGCTAATCACTGGCAAAGAAATGATGAACTACAATTCTGCTTTTACCAAAGCAATTAAAATAATTTACTACAGTTATATACCCATCCAATAGACTGTGGACTCCATGACAGGCAGTGACTCTAGCCAACATCATGAGCTCAACACTTAACATTTGACCAAGTCTATTTTGGTTGTTTGTTTTTATTTTTCTTCCAGAGACAAGGTTTCTCTGTAGCTTTGGAGGTTGTCCTGGAACTCACTCTGTAGACCAGGCTGGCCTTGAACTCACAGAGATCCGCCTGTCTCTGCTTCCAGAGTGCTGGAATTAAAGGTGTACACTACCACCACCCAGCCTCGACCAAGTCTTACATACTAATAAAAATGTCACTTACAAACTTACCTTTACCGCCACTTAGTGGTTTTAAGTAGAGTGCCAAATCTTCAACGCATTTTTTTGCCACTTCATAGTGTTTATTCTCACCTAGATTATTTAATTTTATTGACTGATGATCTGGTACCTAAAAAATTGCAGAGATACATTCATTTAGCTCATGCAACTTCTCTTTATATATCTACTAATAATCTTGGTGAGTATAACATTGTTATAAAAGATACACCAAAGCCATTTAAGTCAACTTAAAATGAAGCTGGAGAGTTAATAGTATTTTGTCAATGTTAATCTTCAAAACAAAATTAAGAGTCAGGGATTCTGCCTTCACCCCATACCATTTAGTACTGACTTCCACATGATTTACCTACTAAATTTATAATTTCTGATCTACACCCTCTTGACAAAATATAAGCATCAGAGATATAACTCAACGATGAGAATCCCCAACTTGCACACATTAAGCCCCCAGTTTAATCCCCAGAACCAGAAGAATAAAAAATAAAAAATAAAATGTGTGTAAACTTGAGGCTCTGCTACTCCTTTGTGTGATCTTGAATTATTATTTAATTGGTTTATATTAATTTCCATATCTACAAGTTTCACAATATTTTTACAAAAGTCCAATTCAGTCCAATAGTGACAGTTAAGAATATTTCTCATGTGTCTACACCATGGATCAATCAATAATCAATGGAGAAAATGTCTAGTCTCAAAGAGCTTAAATGCTATAGAGACAGCCAATAAACAAACAAACATATAAATGAATACTATGTTAGAAAGTGATGGGGATGTCCTTCTGTATGTATGTTTCTCTTACTGGTTGATGAATAAAACACTGTTTAGGCAATAGAGGCAGGGATATAGGCGGGAATAGGAGACAATTACTGGGAAAGGTAGGCAGAGAGAGAGAGACTGCAAAGAGATGCCATGTAGCCACCAAAGGAGAAACAGGTTTGAACATTCTTGGGTAAGCCAAGACCACATTGAAGTAGATTAATAGAAAAGGGTTAATAATTAAGACAGAACTAGCCAATAAGAAGCCCTAGCCACCGGCCAACAGATTAATAATTAATATAAGTATTTGTGTGTTTATTTGGGGCTCAAGGGCAGTGGGACCTGGCAGGAAAAGAAACTCCAGCAACAAGAAAGTGATCAATGAAACTACACCACAAATATATGTGGAACAAGAAATACAGAGAGGACTGGGCAGTGGTGGGGCACACCTTTAATCCCAGCACTCAGGAGGCAGAGGCAAGTGGATCTCTGTGAGCTTGAGGCCAGCCAGGTCTACAGAGCAAATGCCAAGACAAGCTCTAAAACTACAGAGAAACAACAACAAAAAACAAAACAATCAAAATACGGAGAGGGCTGGAGAGATGGCTCAGTGGTTAAGAACCCTTGATGCTGTTGCAGATGACCCAGGTTCAGTTCCTAGCACCCATGCTGGGCAATTCAAACGGCCTATAACTCCAGCTTCAGAAATCTAACACACACTCTGGAACACTTGCATGCATGGGACATCACGAATACATCACAAATACAGACACACACAAATAAAGGTAAGTATTTCGGGTTGTGACATTCCTACATATAGACACATACATAGACAAACACACACAATTAAAAATAAGAAATAAATTTTAAAAAGGAAAGAACCGGAGAAGGGTTACAATTTACTGTATAGTCAGGATAAACTTCCCAGAGAACTGCAACACTCGTAAATACTTCATTGTAGTAAGGCATTCTAGGCAAAGACATTTTCAAAATCCCTATGCATCTGAGAACTGGTTAAGAGGTCAATATAAGTAAGCAAAGCTAATGAATTATTAAATTTCCTGGAAAAGCCAGGAAGCTTTATTAAACTGTAAACTCCTTGCTTTAGTTTAGTTAGTTTTGGGTTTGTTGTTTCTGTATATACTGTTTCACTTGACATTCCCCTATTTGGGACAGACTGGCACTGAACTCTATCTTCCTTCCTAGAGCACTGAGTTTCCAGGCATGTCACTACTCTCTTGCTTATTATGTACTGTGCCATGAATAGAATCTTCTTGTCTGTAAGTAGAGATAATAGGTACCTATAGAGCTAAGGTAAGAATCAAAAGTAACATTCAGAATATTTTCATATGTGCCATGGGACAGACCCTAATCAAATAAAAGCTGTTTATCAAATCTAGGTTCTTGCTAGGATTCAGTGAAATTATGCATGAAATAATAATTGCATAACATGAGGAAATAGGGCTAGAGAGATGGCTCAGCGGTTAAGGGCACTGACTGTTCTTCTAGAGGTCCTGAGTTCAATTCCCGGCAACCACATGGTGGCTCACAACCACCTTGAATGAGATCTGGTGTCCTCTTCTGGCATGCAGGCAGAAGATTGTATACATAATAAATAAATTTAAAAAAAAATAAAAAATGGGGAAATAAGATGCTGTGCAGAATTTGTTACTGATATAATTTATTTTCTTATTTACATATTCAATCGATAATATCCTAAACCAATTGTAATTATAAACAACAACAACAAAGTTTCTACCTAAGAGCTTTAGTTGGTTTGTTTCTATCTGAACCTTTGATTATATTTTTCAGATGACTTAATGAATAAATATTGATGTGTTCATATACAAACTGTTTCTCAACAACCATACCACTTATATTCTTAAATTCTGACCTTGGTATTGAGAAAACAAAAAAATATATAATTGTAATAGGATTCAATATTTTGCTTAAGAACTTATAGCATTAAGAAAAATATTTTTAGGAACACCTGACAAAAAATAAATAAACTGGTACCTTTTAGGTTTCAACTACACTCAATATGCTCTGTACTGGCTAATGAACTAATTCTGACAACTGATATACTAAATCAGTAAAAACACTGGACACTTACCTGGGCTCCAACTAATTGAAGAAGTGCAAAGTTGACAGGGAGCACATCAATGTCTGTGTTTATGGCAGTTTGGTCAAAAGGACACGCTTTTCGGTGAAGTTTATTCAAGCAGGTCTTGCAAACTGTATGTGAACAACCTAAACTGATGGGTTTGTGCACATTCTCATCAAATTCATTATAGCAGATTGGACAGGACAGAAACTCTGTCCATTGAGCTGCCTGCACAGGCATTGTGGAAGCTGATGCTCGGGTTAGCAGTCTTAACAGATCATTATTTTGTTGTGTAGTGTTTTATAAGCTGCAAATGGACAAAAGTAAGAATTAACAATATATTTATTAGTCATTCTGTTAACTGGTAAAATCAACTGCCATTACTGCAGAATCTGAAACATTTCTGAATATAAGCTTTAGTTGTCTCTATAAAAATAAACAACAAAACTATATGTTGATTGTGGACATTTTGTTTATGCTGCAATAAAGCTTGCCTGAAGATCAGAGTGCAGAGATAAACCACTAGTTAGTCATGGAGGCCAGGCAGTGGTGGCTCACACCTTTAATCCCAGCACTCGGGAGTCAGACAGCTCTCTGAGTTCAAGGCCACCCTGAGCTACACAGATTGACTCTGTGTAAAAGAGAAACAGAGCTCACACAAAGGTGATCCCAGAACTTGGGATGATACACCTTTAATCCCAGCACTTAGGAGGTGGAGACAGGAGTGATATGGCTGGGCGGGGAGAGGAGATCAGTGCAGTCTGAGGACTGATTCATAGAGATGGGGCAGTCTAAGCAGTACTAGTCTGAGGAGGCAATCTGAGGACAAGATCCACCCTTTATTCTGAGCATTGGTAGAGGTAACAAGTCTAGTGGCTGGCCACTCTGCTTCTCTGATCCTTCAGCATTTACCCACTGATAGCTGGCTCCGAGATTTTATTATTAAGAACAATTAGCATTTGTGCTACAATTAATTTTGAAAATTTACCCAGAATCAATTTAATATTATTCCTTTTAACTCTAATTGTTCATATAATAGTAAACAAAACTGTGCATTTTTCTTCCTGACCAAAAACATATTTTCACATTCTATTTTTTATTACAATTAATGTTTTTATTTTGAACTAGTCTATGTTCATGTGTATGTATGTGGGCCCAAGAATGCCATGGCATGCTAGCCAGTTTTCTCCTTCCACCATGTGGGATCTGAGGATAGAGCACAGGTCATCAGGTTTGGCAGTAAACATCTTTACCATCTCACTTGCCTTCCACATTCTGTCTTTAAGAACACAAACTACGGGGCTGGAGAGATGGTTCAGAGGTTAAGAGCACCGATTGCTCTTCCAGAGGTCCTGAGTTCAATTCCCAGCAACCACATGGTGGCTCACAACCATCTGTTATGAGATCTGGTGCCTCTTCTGGTGTGCAGATATACATAGAAGCAGAATGTTGTATACATAATAAAATCTTAAAAAAAAAAAAAACACAAACTACAACTGGGCGGTGGTGGCGCAAGCTTTTAATACCAGCACTCAGGAGGCAGAGGCAGGCAGATCTCTGTGAGTTCAGGGCTAGCCTGGTCTACAAAGCTACACAGAGAAAGAGAAACCCTGTCTTGAAAAACCAAAAACAGAACACAAACTACTAAACTTAAAGTTTGAAGTGTTTTTCCTTGGATAACCACTACCTCAAAATATACTTATATGGCTTAATAGCTAGTAAGCTTTGGAAACCATCGACCAAAACAATACTGTAGAGATGGGGATGTAGCTCAGTCACACAGTGTCTGCTCAGCAGGCAGGAAGCCCTAATCCAATTCCTAGCATCACAATATCACAACAAACAACACTTTACACTTCAGTGTGAAAATGTAAAGGAGTAAGTCTATGGTTAGGATATGCCTCAGAAGCCAAGTGAGTTACTGAAAATCTACATACAAGACTGTGATAACACAGGTGTTGCCTATAAATGAAAGAATGATGCCAAACTAAAGCAAAGAATATACTGTCTAGATCAGTAACGGCTCAGCAGGTAATGACACTTGCTGCTAAACATGATAGCCTATGCTTAATCCCTAAGACAAACACTATAGAAGGAGAGAACCAACTTCCACAAGCTGTCCATTAATACACAGTGTAACATTCAACTCTCTCCCCACAAAGTAAAATTAAAAAAAAATTATCTAAATTATTTGTCATAGTTCATTATAATACTTTTGACAAAAGTGTGTGTCTGGGGCTGCAGAGATGGCTCAGAGGTTAAGAACACAGGCTGTTCTTCCACAGGTCCTAAGTTCAATTGCCAGTAACCAAATGGTAGCTCACAACCATCTATAATGAAATCTGGTGTCCTCTTCTGGCCTGTAGGCATACATTCAATGTATACGTAGTAAATAAATAAGTTGTAAAGAAATAAGATAAATTAAAAAAAAAGTGTGTCTGTATACAAAATTTGTCAAACCCAACAGAGCTGGCTTAGAAAAATAAAACACTATTCTCTTCAAATAATTCTAAGCAGAAAAAGGAAATATAAAATTTCTATCTTTGTACTGATTATAGTAGGCACACAGAAAAATAACTATGAGGGAATCATGTATTTCCTTGTATGTTTAATAGTTGCATAGCATTTAGTAAAGCAAGAATCAAAATCTAAACTATACTATTTAATTCATAAATCCTCGAGGTTTTCTATTTTAAAACTATGGAAAGCCAAGGCAGTGGTGGTGCATGCCTTTAATCCCAGCACTAAGGAGGCTGACACAGGCAGATCTCTGTGAGGCCAGCCTGGTCTACAGCCTGATCTACAGAGCGAGTTCCAGGACAGGTTCCAAAGCTACAGCCAGGACTATCACAGAGAAACTCTGTCTCAAAAAACAAAAATCTTATGTCTGAAAAAGCCTGACAAAGGCCATCAGGTAAACAACGAATCTAGGTATTTAGAGTAATTGAAAAGCCAATGTTTTATTGCATACAAATGTTCACCAATCAAATATCAGACATACAGAACACTTGAAAGAGTCATAAGCATCACGCTAGAAAACATGTAACAACGAGCACTCCCCAGCACCCCGAGAGACAAACCCACAAAAACTCTAGTGGCTCTTACTGTATTATAATATTTTTAAAAAATTAAAAATTCTTGGTAAACATGATTTACAGGTCTTACTATATAAGAAAGCATCCCATACAATGCACAAATCTTCACTAAACATCTCTAATGCAGAAAAAGAATGGATGTTGTTTTCAGGGTGCAGAATTATAAATCCAGGCAAAAAGATAAATTTCATCTTAAATCTAAAACTGGAGTTCTGAATTGCTAACATGAAGTGATATTTCTCAGATAGATGCTAACTCTGCTGAGTGAGGGTCTCATAGACTGCTGGGACAACAACAAACTAAGAACTGACTCTCCCTAGTATCCCTAGACCATAAGGACAGTGCTCCAGAGGCACTCGACAGCTCTGTGATTATATATGCATATGTAGATATACACACACCAGGGCTTTTAATAGTGCTGACAAGTTTAGTTCATACTTAGAAACTAAGTAAGACATCAAACTCTGACAATAACTATCAAGTTTTTCTCCTGCTGTATGTGAGATTCTAACAGTAAACTTATGAACTAACTTTCCTTATATGATATGATTTGATTCCTAAGAATGTTTTCCTTTAGTACTGTAATCACTAAATTCCAATAAATTCATTTCTTAGTGGGAAATTAAGATTTTATCCAAAACACAGAAACATATGTAGCACATTAAAATAGTTCACTAATGACAAAATAGGAATTTCAACTCTCTATTAAAAGGTACTTTTTCTTCGTCTTCTGGTTTTTTGAGATAGGGTTTGTGTGTGTACCCCTGGCTGTCCTGGAACTTACTCTGTATATCAGGCTGGCCTCAAACTCATAGAAATCTGCCTCTGTGTCTCCTGAATGCTGCGATGAAAAGTGTGTGCTACCATGCCAGGCAAAAGGTACTTCTTAAGCTTATCTACAAAATACTCCTACAACTACACAAAATGAGAGTCTATTATTTTTAAGAGAAGCATATAAATGAACAATGGAGAAATAAGTATATTAATTTATAGAACATTTAGGCTTATAGTGATACATTTTAACAATGACTTGACTCATTGGGTATCTTAATTGCTGCTAACTTTGTTGTTATTGTTGTTTTTCCAAGACAGGGTCTCTCTGTGAAACAGTCCTGGCTGTTCTGGAACTCACTCTGTAGACCAGGCTGGCCTCAAACTCACTGAGATCCACCTGCCTCTGCCTCCCAAGTGCTTGGGTTAACAGCACGTACCACCACAGCCCAGCAAATGCTGCTAACATTTATAGTGACCAAGAAGTATTTATTCCTAAATATATTTCCCAAGTGGATTAAAAAGTCCAAAAGCCTAGAGAGATTGAGAAACTAAATAAAAGCCTCTAAAATATAAAGAAAAGCTCTAAATCAAACTTTGACAACAACTATTGAGTTATTGAAAAAGCATAAAACAAAGCACAGGAGGGAAAGACCGAATCAGAAGTGGAACCTGAAGCAGTCTCAAGTCCCCAAGCTTCGAGTTCTTTTCTGTGAACCCAAACTTATGATATACAAAGAGTAACACAATTGTCTTATAGATGCAAATTACAAACTTCTTTACCAAATAAATAGCATACTAGCTAAACACTTTCATTTTCAGTTACTTACATTACACAATCAGTTCAGGACCATAACACTTTTAAAAAGTCAGAGTATGAGTGCATATGACTTTTTCACTGCACTGTGTTAACACATAGTATTTTATAATTATTTTTATAAAAACATACAATTAGAAGTTAGTTCTGTTACTTTTAAAAAATCATTATTTACATTTGACTATATAAGCTACTGAAATGGACTACACTAGTACTTCCCTATATAGAACCTATCAAACAAAGTAATTAGCTTTGGTCAGGGATGTGGCTCAGTGGTAGAACACTTGCCTAATGTTTGTGAAGCTTTAAATTCAATCCCCGGTACTGCAAAACAAAACAAAACACAGCTTTAGATTTAAAATCATATTGAAAACACCAGAAGTACAATGTAAGACTTAACCTAAAAAAACAAGCAAACAAGCAAAAGCTAATGGAAATTACCTGCAAATTCTATGGCTCAGCACACTCAACGACAAGAGTTTGGAGAAAAAAGGTGATATATCACAATGTCAAAACTATTTGTTTAATGCTAAGAAATGGATGAGATCAAGTTTTACTCCTCAAATTATGGGTTGAACAAAGTTTTTAAAATAAGATAGAACTTTCAATGAATTCTAACAGAAAAAAAATTCCAATTTTAACTAACAAAGTTCTTCTTTAGAGATGGCTAGATTTGAAAAAAAATACTTTTGTTATGGAACTTAATTATGTGTTCTAACACTAAATAACTTTATCTTTCTTATTACTAAAGTCCTCCTTAGCCCTCTAATTATTCTGACTCTAAAAGTATCAGTTAAGTTTTTGGTTCTGGATGTATTTAATTATTGTGTCACTGCATGGCAGTTGACTCCTATAAGAACTCAGGAAGTTCAGGGCAAGAGAATAGACAAGTTCAAGACTAGCCTAGGCTACACAGTGAGTTCCAGGCCACCCTGGGTTAGAATTAGAAAACTCAATCACAAAGATGAAATTGACAACATTCATGCAACTGAGTGCAATTCATTTTTAATTTCCAATTAGCTTTATTTTCCACAGACTTCCTTTTCCAACACGAGGAAGTGAAACTTCAACCCAGTCGAATCAAAAATAAGCAAGCACTTATTACAACTTTATTACTGCCAGGCATGGTGGTATACACCTTTAGTCCCAGCACACATGAGGCAAAGGGAAATGGATCACTGTGAGTTCCAGAATAGCCTGGTCTACATAGTTCCAAGACAGTCAGGTCTACATAAAAGGGGACTTTGTCTCAAAAAATAAAACAAATTAATAAACAAAAGAACCTTGTTACAAATGTATAGCATTCTTAGCCATCACACAATACAGAAGTTCTAGTTTTAAATATAAAATCCTGAATGTAGAGAAAAATGCTTTTGCCAACTGGTCGGCAGCAAATTAGAAACACAGAAAACATGAACAATGAACATTAAGTCTTTCATGTCAGACTAACCACAATAATAACAGATCAAAAGTAATTCAAAGGCTCCAATAATGAACTAGACTGCAAATAAGATTCTCAAAGAATAAAAGCCTGTTTGAATCATGATATCTGCCTTTTCTAAACAATACTGGGAAATATTTTTAACATTTTGTTCTTGTAGCAATTTTCCAAACTCTGAAATTTGGGGAAATAATAATCTCCAAATCAACGACAACAACAAAAAGGGTAATACTGGAAAACAGCCTTTAATAGGATGGAATGGTCTCTATTTTTTTCAAGAATTGACTGTGTTAGTAAACCACTTTAGACAGGGATGTTGAGGTAAAAACCAGATAAAAGAGGGAAATGGGGGAATCCACACACTATTCTTGATGATTCCAAGTCTTAGGCTGTGTATACACTTCATAAAATACTGGACCCACAACCTAAGACATTTGTTTCTTTCCTTCTGGCTCAAATTCTATCACTTTAGTGTGTCATTCATTATTAGCTTTCTCAGATTAACGAAATGTTTTACTGGAACTTTAAAGTGTGACTAATAAAAAATGATAAGATTACTTAAACACTTTATTTGGGATACAAAGTCACTAATCACAGTTGGTCAAGGTGAGAAATTACTAAAAAGGGTCGTAGGTAGGAGGGCAGTAGGATGAAAAAGAACTGAGGTGGAGTGTAAACAAAAACATGAACAGGTGGAGAATCGCTGAATTTGACTATGTCTGTGATTACTTGTGACTATTTTGGTGTGAAGGCTGTGTCTGCCAGTATCTTATAACTCTGGTGGTTTCAAGAATGGAAATGACAGCTACCCTTTTCTCCGTCCTTCTGGAAGGCTAAGGACAGAGAAAAGTACAGCTGTTTCTCCGAGAAACAAAGATGCTTTCTATCATTCTCCTAAGATGGTGGAAGAGGCTCCTCAAGAGGCTTCCCCAAGGAAAATAAGACGAAAGGGGGAAAGAAAGCCAGAGCAGAACCCCTGGCTGAGCTTCATGCCACAAGCCCTAGTCCCATCCCTGCGCACCCTCTCTGGTCCAGCCATCTCCCTCCAGGGAGGCTGAGCCCTCCCTGGGCATTGTCTGGCCAGGGTCCCTATTTACACCACGCAGATCGCCTGCACCATCCGTGCGCTGGGGTCTCGGTGAACCCCAAGGCTGAAAGAGGAAACGGAAGGGCAGGACGTGATCTCGGGGAGCGCTTCGGAAGCCCCTCTTCCTAACCCGGGTAAGCGCAGGAAGAAGCCGGCCTCTGCCCGGGTGGGCTTCTCCGCGGTCAGGGGCGTCCCTCCAGCCGGCGTCGGAGAAAGGTGGCCATTGAGCGTTTCGCTTCTCCTCCGAAAGCCCTAGAGGGGCCAGCGGCCTCTTCGGGGCCCGGGTTCCGCCG